GCACAAAATCATCCTCTGTCTCTCCCACACACCCCATGCTGGGTTACTAAGCCAGAAAGGTTAGGGACAGCTGTTTTACATCATCAATCATAACCCAATTTCATTGAGTTGAGCTCAAAATGTTTTATCAAAAGTCCTGGATTTTAGACAATGTTTTTTTCTCCCGTTAAGGGTTGTGGAGATGTATAGAAATATTGAAGATATAAAAGAGAAACATACAAACAATGAGTTCTTTTGATGTTTGTTTTTTTATACTAGATCATGCACGTCAAACACAAGGCCCGTGGGTCAGAACCAGCCCATGATCAGGTTAGATGTGGCCCATGGGATGACCCTAGAGACAGCGAGGAGCCATCCCCTGCCGCCTCAGCCCTCCCCACTCCAGACGGATACTATCCCTGGGTGCTTGCACAGGAGGTGACGAGAATGTGGGGTCTGGAGTGCCAAGTGGGCCATTGAGGTGGCAGAGGCCCTGATGGCAGGCACTGCGTTGCTGGTAGGGCTCTCTGCCGCCTCGGCCTGCTTGCCAGCCTGGCCTTGCAACTGGCCCTGTGCCCCCGAATGCTTTCCTTTTCACTGTGACGGCCCCTGCCCCACTTGGGAAATCCACGCCCTCCCTTCCTGGGCAAGGAAAGAGGGAAGAAGGAATGAGATAGGAATGAGGGAGAAAGGAAGGGAAAAGAAGGAAGGAAATTGTAATGAGAGGGAGGGAGGATCTGAGTGAACTCCTGCCTTAGCACTTGGCCACCAGCAACCCTGCTAGCCTCGCCATCCCCTTGCTCCTGGTGGTTTCCCATCCTAACAGTGAGGATGCTTTGCTTCCAAAGTCAGGTCTCCTCGCATTGAAAGGGAGTGGGCCTCCCTGTGACTCACACATTTTGCCCTCCCACACCCATGTGAGCAACCTGGCCAAGAAGAGCGAGCACAGCAGCAGCAGCCTCGAGGAGGAGATATGCGTGGCCAAGCACCCCTTTAGGAAAGCTGGTCTGGGCCGGGCTGGGTGCTTGCCCTCCAGGGCTCTGGGCAGCCCATGCCACCATCCGGAGGTTCTCCATGTGGCCTGATAGACTCCTCTGGTGGACAAGGCTTTGGTGCTCATCCTCGTCTCGCCTTTCTCTGCTGGAGACCTCTGGATCCCCCCACCCAGCCTTACCTGCCCCCTCACAGAAGATGGAGGATCTTATTGCTGCGCCTAGAAGCACGGAGGAGAAAGTTTGTACAAAGCAGTTTCCTCCAGGTCCATCTTTTGCCTTGATGGATCTCTGGAGAAGAGGAAGGGTGGTAGGGGAGTTGCGTTCGGGAAGACTGCCCCAACAAGCCAGCATCTTTACTACATACAACTGGAAACAAGGATTTCCTTTCAAAAAGGGCCAGCCTCCTTCCTGCAGGATCATCAAGTGCTGCTTCCCTGCCATTTTCTCTTGCTTTCCAGAGATCTGTCAAGGCAGAAGTTGGGCTCGGAGGAAACTGCTCCCTGCAAACTTCCTCTTCCACCCTTCCACACTCAGCAATGTTCTTCTCCACCTCTTGCTTTGCTGGGAAGGGGTACCAGACAGGGAAATAAACTCCCAATGATGTCTGAGATTGGTAGAAGAATGTCTCCTTTGGCATGCTGTGCACGCGCGCGCACATGCCAATCCAAGCTTGGAGACTTTTATCCACATCTGAGTTTGCAAACTGCCAATCATGCCTGGGCTTGAGAAGAAGGCAATTAATTTTCCCCACCTTGAGTTAGCCAGTGTAACGGTGGGGGATGGAGACTCGTCATGGGCTCCAGGAAAAGGGGATGCTGTCTTCCCCCATTCTGAAGCGTGCTAAATATAACTGCTGTGCAAGGTGTTGCGAAAGCATCCGGCAGGCTAAATTACATTTGAGCTCTCACAGTGCCTTGTGCAGAATTACATTTAGCACGCTTCACAGTGGCGTCCCCTTTTCCTGGAGCCCATGAGACGAGTCTCCATCCCTTGGCCGTCGCTCTTACCTTCTCAGGCCAGGGGAGGAGTGACTGGGAGGGGAGGGCAAAGGGCAGGGCCAGGCAGTGGTGGGTTCAGCCGATGGAGCCACAGCAGCGGGAAAGAGCTTCATTTATCTGGGAACCTGAAATGATTCTTGATTTAAATCATATGGTAAAAAGAAGCTAAAGAAGAAAGAACATCAGCAAAAGAAAAAAGAAAAAACCCAACCCTCGCCTGTTTTTGGAAATGGTTCGAGAACACACACACACATGCACACGAGAGAGAGAGAGAGAGAGAGAGAGACAGACAGACAGACAGACAGAGGGAGAGAAAGAGAGACAGAGGGAAAAAGACACACAGAAATACCCGTTTCCCACAGAAAACACCGGGAGCCATAAAACCTGGGTGGGAGTGGCCAACTCGATCTCACTCACTCCCACCCAGTCACATGACAACCCCACAGCCACACCTACCCAGGTTTTGTGGCTCCCGGTGTTTTCTGTGGGAAACTGATCCAAATGGCTCTTTTGAGTATTTATGGTTGCAGACCCCTGATCTAGAGAAAAGAAAGACGGGTGACGTGATAGCGGTATTCCACTATTTGAGGGGCTGCCACTAAGAAGAAGGGGTCAACTTATTTTCAAAAGCACCAGAAGGTAAGACAACAAACAGTGGATGAAAGCTAATGAAGGAGAGAGCCTGGAATTAAGGAGAAACTTCCTAACACTGAGGACAATTAACCAGTGAAACAGCTTGCCTTCAGAGGTTGTGGATGCTTCATCACTGGAGTTCTTTAAGAAGAGACTGAACAGCCACTTGTCTGAAATGGTATAGGACAGTGGTGGCTAACTTTTTTGGGCTCCTGTGCCAAAAATTGTGTGCGCGCTTGCATGCTCCCACACACCAGCACCCAGAAGGCAATGCGCCCCCCCAAGCCCCCTGCACATGCGCATGCAATCCCCACCTCTCACCCTGCTGCCCCCTTACCTGCACTGCGCCTCACAGCTGATTTATGGCCAGTTTAAGGCCTTTTTCGGCCTCCCAAAGGCTTCAGGAAGGCTTCTGCAGTCTTTTCAGACCAAAAACTAGGCCCGATTCATCACTTCCAGTATTTCCAGAAAAACAGGAAGTGATAAAATGGGCCTAGTTGAAAAGCCTGCAGAAGCCTTCCTGAAGCCTCTGGGAGGCCGAAAAAGGCCTCAAAACAGCCGAAAATCAGCTGTGAGGCGCAGGCATGCGCAGTGAGGTAAGTTTGCCTGCAGTTCACATGCCAGCACAAATGCCTCTGCGTGCCACCTGTGGCATGCGTGCTATATAGGTTCGCCATCACGTGTATAGGATCTCCTGCTTGAGCAGGGAGCCAGACTAGAAGACCTCTAAGGTCCCTGTCAGCTATATTGTGATTGATTGAAATTTATTTGGTCAAAGACCTCATTGCATATAAATCAGTATATTGGATATGGAAAAGGCTTAATTCCTCTCACAAAATAAGCCAGAATGAGGAGAAGCCCATAAAATGCATGTTCAAAACCCCCTTTTCAAGTACATTTTGCCTTTCTATTATATGACAAGGATTAGAAAAAAAGTCTAAATGTGAATGAAATGTAATTAAATATTACTAATATTCATGAGACATTATTAAATTCCACTTTGTTCTAACTAAAAATTAAAAATACATGGAACTTTTTGAAAGATTTGTGGGAGGCAATACTTTAGGCTTTCAGAGGACTTGCCATCTTTGAAAGTATTTATTCAAATATTGTTCATTGATGACTGCATCAAAGAGGTGAAAAGGCACTGATTATGGTTTCCTAATCATTATGTCAATTTTTTCAAAATGAAAGACTGACAAAATTATATAAGTTGGACTTAGAAGGAGCCTTGATATGTAGAGAAATGGGCTGGAAAGAACAGCCAGAATGAGAAGTTAAAGCCATTCATTTAAAATTGTTTCTTCACAATTTTCCCTCCATTCTTTCTTTCACTAACTGTAGCTAAATCTCTTTTTTCTTGCTCTATCCACCTCCAAATCCACACTAATCTTTTCAAACCAGTGAAATCTTCCTTACTTTTGTCTAGAAAAAAAAAATCTTTTACTCCAAATGTCCTGAGGTTCCTACTAAAATGTCCTGAGGCGTATTACTCAACAACCAAAATAAAACTATTCATCTCTCTCTCTCTCTTTTGCCTTGTAGTATTTGAGCTTTATATTTATTTTTCAGTATTTGTTTTCCTTCATTGTGTAATTCCACTTTTTCTCAAGTCACACATGAGACTTTATTCTCCCAATTTTCATTTCTCCATCCTGGCGCCTTATTTTGAGGTAATTTTTTTAAAAGATGCACAAGTTTGAGCTTTCACTACATTTTGGTACTTTTATTTTGATGCCTCTTTTTCATCGGGATCTATTCTTCAGGATTATTCTCATTATTACAGGGTGCAGTTAGTGTTTCCAAGCCTCCTTGGCTGCCCAGAGCAATGAATTTCAAAGCTACAGTAATTGAAAAAGAAAAATCAATACAAATCTTAATTTTCCTCAACCTGTGGCCTTCCTCCCTGTGTCTCCTGATCTCCCCTCACTTCAGGGCTGAGTTTGCCATCAGCCACAGGCTGGGTTTCATAGAGAGAGTTTCATTCCTTGTCTTTTGACCGCCCTGCCATTTTTGACAGGATTTTGCTCATTTTTGATGCCTTCTGGGAATCCCTAAAGACCCTTCAGAGAAGCTGCTCTTCAGGACAGGGATTTTTGAGTCTCCACAGAGATTTTTTCAGTCTTCACAAGATCACAGACGGTTCTTAGAGATTAAGCCTGTCGGAGAGACCACTTTCTTTCTAGATAGGCAATGTTAGAGGGAAACTTTCCTTCAAATTTAACGTCCATCATCATCCCAGACCCGCATGGAACATGACGTCCTGCGCCCTTGCAGGGTCTTCTCTCAATGCGCACAGGATCCTCTAGGGGGCTCCATAGAAGAGCCGGCCAGCTCCTTCCGCGCCCACCCCGCGGTTACAAGAGAGCTGAGCATGCGCCTGTCTCTTTCCAATGTCAGTTACTTCCTTCCTTCCTGGTATCATTTCCAGCAGACGCTTGAAAGCTTCTCAGCTCTTTCTATGGTGTCTGATTCTGCTCCCCTCCAGCTGTGAGACTTCGGGTGAATCTTTGTACCCAAGGAAGAGCCTGCAGGGAGGTTTTCGAGGTTCGAGATCCAGACGTGAGTCGGGGTTCAGTGACGGGGCTTTTCTCCCGCGCTGGAGGCTCCCATTGGAGATCTGCAAAACTTCCATCTGACTTGGAGTCGTAGGAAGGGGAGAAGCAGGGTTCTCATGTTCTCCTACCGCCCCTGTGCATGCACGGGCCAGGCAGGGGAGAAAGCAGAGCTTCGGATCCTTCCCGTTGCCCCTGGAAAAAAACGGGGTCGCAGAAAGGAGGGAGCCATTTACCCTCCATTTCGACGGGAAAAGCTCTGCATGACAGGGAGAGAAGGAGAGGTCGTCTTTGCAAAACAGAGATTTGTGCCTCCAAGTCAGCCTTGACTCCTGCACAGTTTCCTGCATATTTCTTGGCCCCGTTTTCAAAAGAGTTTCCCCTCGCCTCCCACTTCTTAGACCGAGAGTAGCGAGCGTACAAAGGTTGCAACTCCGTGTGCAAGGAGTTGGGTGCAAGGTGTGCAAAGACTGGAACTGGAACTCGGTTTCCTGCTTTCCCATCTTTCCCCACTGTCACCAGCTGGCTGTGCCGGCAGATAAAAAAGGAAGGTATTAGAGGAGGGAGGTGCATCATTTTCAGTATGTCCCAGATTAGGCCAGTGCTTTTTTGTCAATCCATTGTTTGTTTATTTGGTTATTAAGTGGATTTAAGAGCCCTCCATGTCAATTGCTGTTTGTGCCTTGGGACATTTATGAATTGGATTGTGCAAATCGTTTCTTAACTATGCAGTCATAGAAATGATATTAAACTGTCTATTAAATTATATTAAATAAAATTATAGTTAGCCATAGGGAGCCATTTGGTTCAGTGATGAAAGCACTAGGCTTGAAACCAAGCTATTAACATCTAGTCCAACCTTTGGCACGAAAGCCTTGAGCCCATCCAAACTCTCAGCCCAATCTACTTCCCAGGACTGTTGTGGGGGAAATAGTAAGAAGAAGCATTGTTTAAATCTTCAAAATAATCTTTTCCAAGCCTAACTGGAATTGTTTGGAACAAATATAAAATTCTGGGTAATATATTCATCTTGATTGTTGATATTCTCCCTATTAATGACAGTTGTAAATTTTGCCATTTCGCCAAATCTAGCGCTATCTGCTGCTTAAGCCACACACACACACACACAAAAACCAATATGGAAAATAAATAGAAAAAAAAAATACACGAGGGGGGGGGGAGAGAAAAAAAGAAAAGAGACTACTCCCTTAAAAAAAAAAAGAAGGAAAACATTACTAAAACTTTTCCTTTAAAATAAAATGCAGACGTAAAAATTAGACTTCAAAAACAAAAAGAAAGACAAAAATAAGTTCCAAAAGGCCAAAGATCCAAATAGCTGTTACAAAAAGTAAGCTAGTAAGGAGGGGGTTTGTTAATGTAAGAAATAGCCCAGCTTAAAAAAAGTAAAAAGAGCACACTGCACCTTATTTAGTTATCCAAGGCTTTTGTTAAATTTTATAACTCTCTTCTCCAGAGTCTTATTGTCTTCTTTTCTGTAAACTTCAACACCAGACTCCAGCTACTGATAGAAACCCAGAAGAGCACCTGTAATAATACTCTCCCATGCTCTTCCCTCTATCTTATCAAACAGGCAAAGTCCATGAAAAGAAGTCTCAGATCTTTCCCAGCTTTGTCTGGTCAAGAGAAAAAAGAGAGAGAATATTTCCAAGCCTCTAGTTGGCAGTGTTACAAAGTTTCTTCTGCTTTCACTTTCCCCCTCCTTTTCCAAACAAGATATAATAAAAATTAATTAAAAAGGGAAAGGATATTAAAAAAGATGACTAGAAGGTAGTCTCTAGCCTAAAATATTATAAAGTCAAAAAGGAGAGAAAGAATAGATTAAAAAAAAACCAGTCCAATTTCAAAATATAAAATCATATATAAAAAGTCCAGCAAAACAAAAAAACCACTTTGACTTCCTGTTTAAAATTGCCGCTTAATCACTTCTGTCTAAAATTTTACAGATTCTTTCTTTTCCTTTTCCTTAGGGTGTCCTTTCAAATGTTAAAGTAAAGAAAAAATTCTCACCAAACCGGCATACTTTCTCTTTCTGTTCTCTTTCGTTTTGGAGCTGTCCCAACTTCAGCAGCTTTAATGGCTGCCTCTTTGCTGCTGGCAAAAAGAGCTTCTCCTGGATCTACTAGGGACTTTGCGGTATCCCTGGGATCAACAGGCTGCGCTCTTTACATTCACCGTCTCTTCAGGATGGTTTAGATCCGTTTGGACGGTCCAGGAGCAAAGATATCGGCAGTGATCTCAGACCTCCAAGATCGCATGCCATATCGTCGCAACGCCAGCTCCGCCCTCCCATGTAGTAGGTTCATCCAGTTTTCTTTTTCATATTTTTCCTACCCCCTTCCTTCCCTCAGTAGTTATTAATCACACTAGTAAACACCCTAAATTATTTGTTTTCAATTTCAGGTATGTAAGTTGGAAATATTTTCTGGTTCTTCTGGATTCTTAAGTATCTTGTCTGGGAAGAGAGCAGAATGGCCTTGGAAAATTTGGCCAGATCTCTTGTGAACAGAAAGACCTGTGGAGATGCATCTGTCCATTATGGAGCTGTATTAGAGACCAGAGAGAAGATGAAGAAACAACAACACCCAGTAGATGCAGAATTTAGAAAAGGCCCTCCAGCTGCTCAGCCTTGGAGCTGTGGGAAGAATGGGGCAAGTCCTAGGTGGAAGAGCCACAAAAAGACATTCAATAGTTCAGAGGTCCAATGTTGTCACTTCAGAAAAGTGCAGTTTCAGGAGGGGAGCCGTCCCCGAGATGTTTGCACTCAGCTTCACTACTTTTGTCGTCAGTGGCTGCAACCAGAAAAACACACCAAGGCTCAGATGCTGGACCTGGTGCTCCTGGAACAATTCCTGGCTGTGCTTCCCCCAGAGATGGGAAAATGGGTGCAGGAGTGTGGAGCAGAGACCAGTTCCCAGGCGGTGTCCCTGGCTGAAGGCTTTTTGCTGACTCAGGAGGAGGAAAACATGCAAGAAGAGTTGCAGGTGGGAGAATGTAATCATGGCAGCTCTAAAGAGGATCTCTGTGCATTTCTTAGTTCTTCTCTGGCAGAATTTTCTGGGATTATTAACTCCTAAGGGCATTTATTCTATTCTTCCAGGGATGTATTTGGGGCAATTCTTCCATTCTGTTTCGAATTTCAGCAATGGACATTGGAGTCTGGTAGTTTGAACATGCAGTATGGTAATTCATTTCTATCTCTATGCTCTTCCTTTGTTTCTCATATCACATCATGTCCAGAAATGCATGGAACCTGCGACTGAGTATCCCAAGGGGAGGAAAGATTCATTCAGATCCTCTGAAGAGCTGCTCTTCAGGGAGAACTTCCAGGATGATCAAAGTCAAGACACTATGCAAGGTAAGAAAAGCTCTTTCTGTGTGATGTGAGATTTCAACATTAATGTGATGACCCAGGGTGGGATACAAAACAAACACAGTCACAGAAAACAGGTGAAGCCCCTTTTATTCCTTAACTTTGCTTCCAAGCTCCAAATATCTTTGACGGAAGACCAAAAAACTGCCACACAGTTACGTGAAAAAGGAAAAAAGCAACACAAACCAGGCAAGATAAGAGTTGCAGGATATCCACAGATAACACACACTGGGAAGGACGCCAAACTCAGAGAGGAACTATAAACTAGAGATATTTACACACTTTGTTTCCAGTGTTTGCCAGTACGCAGGTCCAAACTCTTACTCAGTTGTCACATCTGCAGCCCATGAAGAGGATCAAGGCCCTTCTCCCAAGGAGACCACGTCTCTCCCTTATCCTCTCCTCCCCGCATGCCCTAGGATGGATAGGGGATGGGCCTGGGTCCTCCTCTAACTTCTCAGCTGGCCTCTCCCCTTCCCCAGCCTCCTCCACAACCTCCGGAGCCACACGCCACACGGCCACTTCCTGTCGGCTGTTCCTCCTCTCCCTCAGAGTCAGTCTCCACCAGCGGCATGACAATTTAGCTGATTCTTTTGCTCCACATTGTTGGATTGTCTCTTTTTAACAAATCTGATTCTGCTATTTTTCTCTTTCTCATAGAGAGTAGAAAGCTGTCCTTGGACTTTTTAGAATCACCTCTTTCTGATAGAGCTGAAGGATTAGCTGAACCGTTACTTCAGGTAACGAGGAGAAACATTGGAAAAGGTCCATAAATATTGGATGGATTCCATTTTGTTCTAGAGTTCAATGTATAAAATTGTTTTTTCTAAGCAATACAAATTCAATACCAGGTCACTGAATATTCTCCTTTCTGAGGGGATCCTCTGTGAGTCGCTTTCTCTACCTGTCCTGCTTCTACATCAGATTTCATTGGCCAGACTGTTGTCAGAATTGGGGCGCTTTCTTCTGTCTCCCAGGGTTAATCTCACATACCATTACAAAAAAAATATTCTATTTTATCTCTTTTTTTTAAACAAAGTTTTTATTTTTTACAACAAACATACAAACAAAACATAAAACCCTCTTTCAATTATATACATACAGTGTGTCAGTTGGTTACAATCTTTTGTGCTATCCTTTTTTTACCATTACTCACATGTTATATAAATTCTCACCTTATCGGTCTAGCTTGTGCTTATATAATATCAATTATTAAACATTCATTTAACTATTTTTCCATCATTTTATACAAGATATTCTAATTTTCATTATGATTTAAAGCATCTTAGGGACAACCGTGACCTGGTGATTGAGAATCTCCATAAAGATATAGAGTTCTATTACAACCTCTTCCAACTCCTTCATGAAGGGGTGGAGTTGGCATACGTTGATCCCTCAGTTGATAAAGTAAGCCATTGGAAATCATGTCAGGTGGGTTTTGGCACTATTTTGTTCTTCCCGTTCTTAGAAGAATGGGAGTCACTGACAAGTAGTGAATTTAAGGCCCAAGTGGGTCATTCCAATGTCAAGTGGTCTGGGGGTCCCTGCTTGACCATCACAGATTTTGATGAAATTTTGTATGTACATGCACACGTGTCCCCAATGAACATTGATAAAGTGTTACATGTGCCGATGCAATACTTACAGAGATATAGTCATTTGTTAGACCCCATACCGCAGCCTTCTATAGTGCGACTCTGAGGTTTCAGCAACTTTGAGACAGTATCTCCGGCAATATTTTGTTGAGAGAAACAAAACTTGGCCATCTCGTACAACTTTTTGTGCTCTATTAAACAAAATAATAAAAACATTATCATGAGTGATCTCCATCTAGACAATTTAGAGCAAAGTTGGCTGAAAATATTGCGGTTCAAAAAAAGGTTAAAATTTGGCTATTTATATCTCTGGAAGGAAAGGTATGATACATGTGAAACTTTGCGCGTAATAACTTAGCAACACAAGGTTTTTGAGTATAAAATTTCATTCTTTTACTGCTTTCCAATAGTTTATAAATTGAGTGTAATACGGTATTTTCAGCCTGCTTTTACAAAAAAAGACCTTCTGGAAACTGTGTTAAATCATTCTCATTAGAAAGAGCATGTTTCAACCCCCCTACAAAAGTAGCATTGATTTTTCATCGCTGACGTATAAACCCCTAAAAATAGGGACAAAGTTGAGGACATTGCTATATTTTCGGCTAACTTTGCTCCAAATTATCTAGATGGAGATCGCTCGTGAGAATGTTTTTGTTATTTTGTTTAATAGAACATAAAAAGTTGTATGAGATGGCCAAGTTTTGTTTCTCTCAACAAAATATTGCCGGAGATATTATGTGTCACAGTTGCTGAAACCTCAGAGTCACACTGTAGAAGGTGGCGGTATGGGGGTCCAACAAATGACTAGATCTCTGCAAGTGTTGCATCGGCAAATGTAACACTTTACCAACGTTCATTGGGGACATGTGTGCATGTTCACGCAAAATTTCATCGAAATCCGTGATGGTTGAGTGTGGCACTTTTCTCAAATCAGACCACTTGACATGGAATATTTTAGTTGGTTACACCGTAAGGCATTCCAAACACTTCCAGCTTGATCAAACATGATTTATTTGTGCCATCAGCCAAAAGCGGTGAGATCCTATTCTGAATTCTGCAGAAGATTCCCATTTTGTTCATGTGATCTCTTTCCTACAATTGGTGGAGGAAAATTATCCCATTATTCTTGTGATTATCTGTTAATAAGGAACCTTGTGTCATTTTTCAGGATATTGTTACTTTTGAGGAAGTGGCCGTGTATTTCTCCAAGGAGGAGTGGTCTCAACTGGATGCCGACCAACAGGAGCTCTACAGAGAAGTCATGCTGGAGAATTCCAGGAATCTCCTTTCTCTGGGTAAGAAACCCTTTCTGTGCTCAGGAATGTAGAGATGGAGCTTAAATGTTATTTCTGGGGGAAAAAATCATTTATTTATAGTGCATTCATAAAGTATTCAGAGCCTCTTCACTTTTTTCAATTTTGTTATGCTGAAGCATGATTCTACAGTTTTTGAAATCAATATTTTATATTTTATGAGCCAAAAATGTTTTTTAAAAAACAATTTCTTTTTTGCAATAAGGGAGGCTATGCAGATTTCCAATTTTTATTTGAATAAATTTCCTTCTTCTATAAAGTGAGTTTGGTCTAATTGTTAAGATACCAGGCTAGAAACTGGGTGACTCTGAGTACTAATTCTGCCGTAGGCAGGAATGCTGGCTGAGTGATTTTTTGCCCAATATCTCTCAGCTCAACCCATTTCCCAGGGTTATTCTTGTAGGGAAAACAAGAGCAGGAGGAAGGAATATTGGGTTTGTCTGTTGCCTTTATTAGTTACAAAAAATGAAGGATATACAGTGCATTCAGAATGCCTTCGGATTCCCTTCACTTTTGTCAATTTTGTTGTGCTGCAGGCTGATTCTACAGTGGATGAAATTCATTTTTTTCTCATTAATCTACACTGACTAGCCAATAATGACAAAGTGAAAACAAAATTTTAGAAATGTCTGTAAACTTATTAGTTTCTAGCCTGGTTTTTAACCTTTTGACCAAACTGATTTTAGGGAAGAAGGAAATGTATTGAAAGAAAAATTAGAAAATTGCATAGCCTGGCTTTTTGCATAAAGGAAATTTTATTTTATTTTAAAAATAACTTTCTGCTCATGAAATGCAAAATACTCATTTCATACAGAAGATATTAGGAAGCCTCTGAGGAAGAGGCTGAATGTACTGAGGAAGGTTCTGGCTACCAGGATTCGCTATTCCCTCCTGAACCTGGTCACTGGATTCCTGATGGCCCTGAGCTGCTATCACCAAGACCGGATGACCTCTGAGGGGTTTGTTCCCTTCTTAGACATATGCCCACTTGTGTACCGAGTTTGGCATTAGGCTAAGTTGAGGGTGGGGAGCAATTGCCATCCAGAAATTTCTTTGACTTCAAAGATTCTGTTCTGCAGACAAGTGGAGATGAAATTTTTATTGAAGTTGGGAGCTGGTGAGTATGTTGATGCCACAGCATGCTACATTGTCCAATACACTTCGGGAGTTTGTGCCACCATGGAATTGCCACAGGTCAAAGGTTAGATGAGGGCTGGGATCCTATTATAGTAGGAACCTTAGAGCTTCACTTGGAAATGGGTCTTTGCTATAATCTTACATTGGATTCTTCATGTTTTCCCACAAAACAGCTGAAATATATTGATGATTCTTTGGCTAAATTTCAGAATAAAAGGTTTGATTGTTCCCCTGTTCTTGCTACAGTTTCCCTTTTTGTTTTCCAAGGCTTTAATGGACAAGAGAATAAGAAATGCAAGGAGGAACGCCAAGCAATCCATTCGAAGGGGGCGGAAAGGAAATTTGTAGATCAGATGCAACCAAAAAGTGATGAAACAAAACAATCACAAAGTGGAATTAAAAGAAGTCTTCCTCATGTCAGTTGGCTTCCTAACCATACAATGATTGATACAGGAGAAAGACCATATGAATCCATGGAGTGTGGAAAGAAGTTTAATAAATCCGATCATCTCATTTCTCATAAAAAGTCACATTCAGAAGAGGAACGAACTACCTGCAGGGAGTGTGGAAAAACGTTCTGTGATAAGTACTATCTTATAAGACATCAAAGGATCCACACAGGAGAACGACCGTATAAATGCATGGAGTGTGGAAAGGCCTTTACTCGTAGCAGTCATCTTAATACCCACAGGAGGATCCACACAGGAGAGAAACCATATCAATGCATGGA